GCCTTGCATGTGGCCAACCCAGGTTCGATCCAAGCACCAAATATGACCCCCTGAGCAACACCAGGAGTGATCTCTGAGCAGAGAGGCAGGGGTAAGCCCTGAGTCCTGCTGGATGTGGTTCAAAAATCTAATAACCCCCCTCAAGAAAAAGGGGAAGAAATATATAGCCACCCAGATCTCGTGTGAAGCCAACTGGCAATTGGCCCCTCGGAGGCCTGGAGAGAAGCCTGGTGGTGCCACATCCCCAGGCGACTCACTCCAGTCAGTCACAGGCCCGGGAGGGCCAAGGGCCTTGTAAGTGAACACGCTCCATTCACACTCCTCAGCCAGTTACTGAACACAAAACATGTAGCAGAATGGGGGTGACAAAGAGAAGTGAAGGGCAGAGCCCCACTCAAGCCCGGGGGCTGCAGGAGGAGCTGGCTACTCTGACTCTGCAGGCCACAGAGGGTTCCCCGGACTGACAGAGACACTGTCCCCAGCCACCATCCCTGCCTGGTGATTCCCACCTCCGGGGAATTGCTGCGCGTAATATGGTTCTGCAGTAACAGCAGACCTCCTTGGCTGAAAAGAAGATCCCAGAAGTCTGACATTTAAAGAACTGAAATATGGTAACTAGGTCAAGTTCTTTCGCTGGACCCTATGGACATGGACAGGCTTTCCCGGTCCCTGTGGCCGCAGGCAGGCCACCCCGTAAGCTTCTGTTCCTTCCCCTAGACGGGGGCGTAACAGGCTGCGAGAGGATGGTCCTAGGATCTCAGTTAAGCACACAAAAACCTGGTAAATAGATTTTTATTTTGGGGTCACACCTGATTGTGCTCAGAACTTCCTCCTGGCTGTGCTCAGGGTTCACTCCTGGAAGGCCTCAGGGCACCCTATGGGTACCAGGAATGGAAGCCAGGCTGGCCCTGCGCAAGGCAAGCTCCCTGCCTGCTGCTCCGGCCCCCCTGGCAAACTAGCTGGAACTGTGCACGGCATGTACACCGGAAACGAAGGTTCCAAGAGGGGTCAGTCGTTGCCCAGTGTCAGCAGTTGCTGTTCATGTCCTCCTTTGATTCTACAGATTGTTCTTGGAGTATGAAGCCCAACTCTGAGGGGGGTGACTCGCAAGTGAGAAATCGGGAAAACAAAGGGCTGGAATCTGCTGGGTCTCCCAAGAGCTACTTTAACACTGCCTCAGGCTGTGGAAGAAGTAAGCTGGCACAAGCTGCAGCTTTCTCCCAGGCCGAGATAAAATCAGTGAGAAGGGGAAAAGGTCCCTGGCACTGTGGGCAGAAAAAGAAAACTGAGGCTCACTTTGGTGCGAGAATTCATCTCAAAGCCTGGGCAAGAACAAAGCCTTCTAACATTCCCCCGCTGCACGGTGGGCTCAGCTCCTTCCTGGCCTGATTCCTGCTCACAGCAGGCAGCCAGCAAAAGGATGGACTCGATTAGCAGTCAAAACCCAAACTGGAAAGTGCAAGGACTTGGGTTTGTCATTTTCTCATCCAGGCCATGATGCAGCTTCCGTCCCTTGGAGGGTCGCCTGACATACCAGTGGTTTCTGCAATCCTCTCTCATTTATGGAGATGGTCATCAGAGCCAATCTTAGAATTAAGAATTCAGGCTGCTCCATCAACAACTTCAGGACGGCCTTGGGGATCAGCCTCAAATCCAGGCACTATCATTTGCTAGTTGGCTAATTTTGGGCAGTCATAACCTCTCTCCACAGCTGAAGCACTATCTCTGAGAAGGCAGGAGTGTGAACATGGCACGAGAGAGCTGTGAGCGGTGTCCACCATGATGCCTTACAAGAGATGACCCCAAGAATTAAAACATTGTTTTTGGATGAGAGGAGGGTCACATGCCACGCTTGGGGGCTACTCCCAAGTGAGTCTTGGGGAACCTGAGCAACAGGGGATCAAACTGTGGGGTTTCTACATGCAAAGCACATGCTCCAGCCTTTGGGGTCCCCCCCCCCATTCCCACTCTGTATACCTTTCAATGTCCTTCCTTACACGAAAATTAAAAGGCTACTTCCAGCAATTTCCCAATCAAATGGTTTCAACTGATAAGGCACAAATTCTTCTGGTACACCACAGCACATTTGCTGGGGAATAGCTCACTTCCAATTTCTCTGATTTTGTGACATAAAGTGATAGACCTGCCCCACTTCTGCGGTCCCCTCTATTCTGCATCGCTCCTTCCCCCAGTCACACACCTTTGTCCTCCAAGGCCCTTACAGTTCCCCATTCTAGACCTTCCAGACCGCTCCACTGAGCAGTCAGACACAGAATGCTGTTTCTTCAACAGTTAGTAATTAGAGTCAACATTTGTTGAGTGTTTATTGTGCTAGTCATTGTTCTAAGAGGTTTAGGATTGTTAAAACTCACTGGTTCCTCCCACCAGCCTTACAAGGCAGATCAACTGTCTGAGGCTAAGGGAATTGTCCAAGGTCACACAAGTCAGCAGGTGGCAAGGCCAGGCGGTGAGCTAAGGTAGTGTGGTTCAATAGCACTCTCGGAAAAACAGAGTCTCACAGGCTTGTAATAATCTGCTTTGAAAATGGTTTTAAGGAGACCAAGCAGCCGGTCCTGATTAAATATACCAATAAACAGTAAATTTCTATTTTTTAAAATATTTGATTTAGCCTCTTTATGGTCCTTGATAGAGAATTCATATTTAAATAAAATACTTTTTTTTCCCTTGGGGGATTGGGGGTGACACTGGATCTCTGTCTTGTTCTATTTTCTGTTGTGTATAATAGCATCCAATTATGGCAAAATAAAATATTTTTTGGAGGGGGCTATACCTGGTGATGCTCCTGGGTTACTCCTATCTCTGCACTCGGGAATCACTCTTAGAGATGATCTGAGACAATATGGGATGTCAGGGATTGAACCCGGGTCAGCTGTGTGCAAGGCAAGGGTCTTATCCACTATACTATCTCTAGTCCCCCAAAAGAATTTTTTTTTAGTATACAGAAAATTACAGGTTTTGGAATTTACAGATATAGATTCTGAAGATCACCATTTACAAATATAATATTTTACATCTAAAAATAAAATTAAAAACATTTCCATAAAAAGAAATTGTTTTTAAAATTCAATTCTATTTTACAAAGACAAATGATGCTATTCCAATGGTTCTAAGCCACTGGATTGCCTACTGGCCTTTGTAAACGCTGCTAAGGGCTTCTTCTGCTAATTGCGCTCAGACTGCACACTGTACGTGTCCCGCAAATCCTTTAGGGAGGGACACTGAGGTCACTGAGGCCACAACTTAATCAAGCTGATGTTTAGAAATGGAGTGAGGATAAGAGTCTTGAGTTCAGAGCCTGATCTACAAACTCCCATAGCCTGTTCTTCCTAGTGTAAGAGAGTTGGGCTTCAGAGTCAGGAGATAGCTCGGGAATTCTGGTCACATGTTTTCCATGTGAAGGACCCTGGTTTGATCCCTAGCACCATGTCACGTGGCTCTCCTCTCCCCACCTGCCAGTGTTACAGAGGTGGCCCTGGAGGGCCCTGGCACAGAAAGGCCTGAGGAGTACTTCATTCTCAGGCTCTAGCACTGAGCTGGCCAGCCTGGAATGCCAAGTATCTCTGCAAGTGGTCTCTGGAGCTCCTGAGCACTGTTAAGGTGGGGTGGGGGTTGGGGAAGAGAAATTCACTGGAATGCACTGTGTACTGCGAGATGCTTGATCACAGTTTTAAAAATGACAAATTAGGGCCAGGAGCAATAGAACAGAAAGTAAGTAGGGCATTTGCCTTGCATATGGCTAACCCGGTTCAATCCCCAGCATCCCATAAGGTCCCCTGAGCACTGTTGGGAGTGATTCCTGAGTGCAGAGCCAGGAGTAAGCCCGGAGCATTGCTAGGTATGGCCGCTAAGCAAAACAAAAAAAAAGGGTACATGACACATATATATATGGAGTAACACGAGGATTAATGTGGAATAATCTCTATGATAGTGTCCAAATGATACAAGAAAAATACAGAGCATGGGTGAGAAGGAAAACACAGGGCGCTGGTGACGACCTGCTATCATTTGCTACATGCATGTACATACATGCAGAAGCCTGGTATATTTGTATGCATACACAGAGTATGCATTTCCATACAGGGAGCGTCCCAGGAAAGATACCAAGGAAGCTGAGCAGAACTGCTGTCTCAGAGTGGGGCGCCCGGAGCAAAGGGGCTACAGGGTCACTCCAGACATTTGGCTGAATGGGAGGAGTCGGCTACAGTGTTCCTCTAGGCTGGGGACGAGTGAGGACCTGCCGAACTACTGAAGGGCAACCTGGCTGGGTCAGGACCCTCACAGACATAGCAGTGTGTGAGAGAAGGACAGCAAACAACTACTGGGGGAAAATTACAGACATACACGCCGTGAAGAAAGAGCAGTCTCCAGTGACAGAAGACAAAAGGGGCGTGAAGGGAAGGATCACGGTCAGGACAGGGAGACGCAGAGATGCAGAAACCGAGTGGAGGACAGGAAGCAACTGAGCAGAAGCACAGCCTGAGGAAAAGGCCCCAAGCAGAGCGTTCTAAGGGTCAGCATTATTACTTCTTTCCAAAGGCCACGGGAACAGAAAGGAGAGGGATGGCCAAATGACCAGGGCAGAAACTCTAAAGCACGTGAGAGAAATCTCCAGTTGGGCTCAGCACACGCACTGCGGGAGTCACACTAACGGCCAGCATTTCCTAAACCCTGATGCTTGACCTGGGGAACTGACACGGTCAGCTGCTTCACCTACAAACTAGCCATTACCTCAGAAAGGGCCCATGTTCCTAAACTGCTTCCGGTGAACGTTTGCTGCGGAGTGAAAATCAGGATGCAAACGCTTTCCCACAGAGCACTGCATCCCTCATTTTACTGTTGGAAATACTTTTGGTGGCCCTGGCACTAAATGTCCCTGCAAACCTGCCCCGAGGAGCCAGACCTGGGAGTGCTCCCGAACGCGGGGCTGACAGGCTGGTCTGTAAGGACAAAGCAGGCACGCAGCGAGGAGGCCAACGTACTGTTCTCGCGGACCAGGCAGAACTCCCACGCGCTCTGGCTCTCCAAAGTGCTCTCCAGGTCCACGGCGACATTGGGCTCGCTCTGCTTCTCCAGGCGGTACTGAGGGCCTGGAAGATCAAAGGGGCAGGAGGAGGGGAGGAGGTCTGAAACAGTGAATTTAACATTAGAAAACACTGTAGACTGGAGAACAGCCCGTGAAGTGTCAGCACACTGCAGAGGCCCGTCTGCTAGCGGGCTACCAGGGACAGAAGAGCCTGGAGATGGTTTGGGGTCTGTGCGTCTGCCCTGGCCCCGCTTCACACTGTACACTTTTGTCTGTCCTATAACCAGGTCTATTTTTGCTCAGTTTTTCCCCTGATCAAGGTGAGCGGTAGATGGTGTTTGAATGTCACTGGCCTGGAATCAAAGAGCGGGAAACCCAACCCGTTTGAACCCGTTTGCTATTATGCAGTGTGGGAACAGTGAAACCTTGAAGGATTAGTGTAAAGATTGGAGATGACACGGGAAGCATAGTAATGCAACAGCCTCGCAGGAGGCACTCCCTCCAAAGCACTTATTATTAATAATCATTACCTAATCATGAATAATCAATTATAGGTAGGTATAAAACATGCTTTAAACTCTTATGTGACAAGTCTGAAAATGAAAAAATATATTCTAAGAGCAGGTGATGTCAAAATGCAACTCAGGGTTCTGTTTCCCGGTGACAGAAAGACAGTGGCTGATGATTCGTGTTTTCGCTGAAACATTTATAAAAACACAAGATGGCCCAGGCCATGGCTGCGTTAGTGAACATGCCTGGCACGGGTGGAGCCCCGCGCTGGATCCCTGGCACTGTGAAACCCAAACCAAAATCACACACGAGACCCGAGTTCAGTCACAGCGGAAGCTAGGGACACCAGATTTCCATATCACAGAGGGGACTCAGGGATCTTAATAAAACACTAGGGCATTTGATACATTTATTCATGCTGTCTCTGTCATACCAATGACAATCCAACTCTGAGATAATACCTAAGAGGTCCAGTGATTTGATTCAAAAGACTGTTCCTGTTGTTAGGGGTTACTGAAAAGATTAGAGGCATAAGAAACCATCCTTTTATTTGGACTCTGAAAGGAGTGTTTGGTCAGGCAGAGGAGAGGGATTCAAGATCTGAGAAAAGCATCCGAAGCCTCACAGGGCTCCTAGGCAGAATACAGGGTTCTATAATGTTCTTCCTACTGTAGATTTGTGGGCTATTGAGACCCAGCACTCCTCCCTCTGCACCCATTCATCTCAGGTCACCCCACCCGCACCAACACCCTCTCCCCAGTTTTCTGTCACTGGCTGCACTGGAGTTGTATTTCAACTTCTTCAAGGTATATTTCCTAAGTGGCTAATTTAGTAGCTCTTGTGCCTATTTTCAGTGTTCTTACTACATTCAGTTCTTTTACACTACCAACAGCTTTACATCACTTTACTAAACAATACGCAACATATATACGACTATTTGAACAAGTACATGCTCAAAAAAAAACTATGTAATTTTTAGAAAATCTAATACACAGTACTCAGATTAGGAAGGTGCTGTAATATTACTGCTGAATTCTAATGATTAGTAGTAAGCAAACAAAGGTATTGAACGAAGGGGACAGTCTCCACATGACAGAAAGACAGTGTCTGCTGATTTGTGTTTTTGTTGAAACAGGGCTGGAGCGATAGCACAGCGGCAGGGCATTTGCCTTGCACACAGCCAACATGGCCGACCCGAGTTCGATTCCTCCGCCCCTCTCGGAGAGCCCGGCAAGCAACCGAGAGTCTCTCGCCCGCACGGCAGAGCCTGGCAAGCCACCCGTGACGTATTCGATATGCCAGACACAGTAACAACAAAGTCTCCAATGGAGACGTTACTGGGCCTGCTCGAGCAAATCGATGAACAACGGGAGGACATTTTTTATTTACAAAAACACAAGACGGCCCAGGAAGTGGCTGTGTTAAGAGTGCATGCCTGGCACGGGTGGAGCCCTGTGTTTGGCCGCTGGCACTGCAAACCCAAACCAAAATCACACACCTATCAGAACTGAAGTCTGTCAATAAACTGGCATATTTGTTGCTGAAACTGGCATGTTTGTTGCTGATTGCGGAACACTTTCACACACATTCATTGTGGGATTACGGGAAAATCACGCTCGACAAACTTCGGTGGTGCATGGTTCTTCTCACCGCATCTCCTTCCTGTCCCTTCCCCAACACTATTACGATAAAAATAACGTATTAGAGGGGTGGCAGTCACCCCTAAATAAGCAGGGGTGATGTTTCAAAACACCGGCCTGTTAGAAATCTGCTGCTCGCCACCCTCAGCCCCAGAAACAGTCTAAGGCACTGACCACCCACCTGTGAGGATTAGTAGCTTATCAGGTTAGAAACGTTAGCTACAATTCATGGTTTAATGATAACCAATATTTTAGAAACAACCTAGATCCAACAGAACACTGTGAAATACCAGAAAGATATTAAAAGTGATGCTATGGGCTAAGGAGGCAGCTCAGAGAGTGGGATGTATACTTTGTGCAAGGCCCTAAATTGGATCCCTGGTGTCACCTGGCCTGAGAATCTGGCATTCTGTCCATAGCCCTGTGTGTACATGTGTGAGTGCCACAGTGACCTCCTGCAACACCACAACTAACCAGTAAGACTCCCATTGTTTGTGTGTACAAACAATGCAGCTACAAGGGTGTGACATCATGAAGTGAATACCACTTCCGGTTTTCTCAGCAGTAATGGCAACAAGGGCACCGAGGGGTGGCAATTTTTTTTTTTTGAAATTTAGAACAAAAAAGACGGGAAATGTGATGACAGTGTATAGTGGGATAATGAGGGTTTATTTTTTCCTAGTGTTCTTCTCTGCTTTTTAATTTTTCCTGCAATAAAAAGAACAAGCTGGCATTTCTCACAATGTTACTTGGCCCACTCGAGCAAATCGATGAGCAACGGGAGGGCAGTGCTACAGTGCTATATAATTCCAAGTCCACCAGTTCCTTTGAAGCGACACCATTTTTTGGAGGATACTATAATCATCACACATTATGGCATCGCCAACAAACCTTTCAGATGCGAGCTGCTTCTGTGGACAGGTGCTGCTATGGAAGGGGCCTTCACGCTCGCATGCGGACTGACTCCCAGCTCCATGCAGAGTTTTGGACATCTGGGCAGTTATCTGTCGATCTCGAGGCACCTTGGCCAGGCCTCCTCACAGGGACTTTCATGATTGTTTCCTTTGTCCACTTCCTCCCTCAAGTCTCTGCAACTCTCTGGGAAATGAGGATAAAGGACTCCAGGGAACAGCAGTGGGAAGGGGACCTTTATCCCTACACACAGGTCCCTGTAGCATTTTGAAAGTCGTGTTGAAAAACACTTTCAGCATTTACTTTCCTGGGTACTGGGGCTTTCCTGGGTACTGGGGCTTGCACAGGATTTTTTTCACTTTTTGGGGGTGGGGTAGTATGGAGTGAGAGGGGTGACTCCTGTCTCTGGGTGGGGGGGGGGGTGGGGAGAGGGGAGAAGCCCGGGGTCCTGAGGCAAACACAAGCATGTGCTCATTCCAGTGAGTTCTCTCCTGTCCTTGCAGATTCCTATTAAAATCATGTTTTGTTTTTTCCCTTTCTAGTACAGGGGATACACAACGGGTAGGGTGTCTGCCTTGCACGCAGTCAACATGACCAACTCGAGTTCGATTCCTCCGCCCCTCTCGGAGAGCCCGGCAAGCTACCGAGAGTATCTCGCCTGCACGGCAGAGCCTGGCAAGCTCCCCGTGACGTACTTGATATGCCAAACACAGTAACAATTCTCACGATGGAGACATTACTGGGCCCGCTCGAGAAAATCGATGAACAACGGGAGGGCCGTGACCGTGACCGTGACCTGAGTACAGGGGATGAGACACCTGCCGTGCACATGGCCGAGTCCTATTTGATTTCCAAGACTACATCTGGTCCCCTGAGCACAGAGCCAGGAGGAAACATTGGGTGGGCTCTCCCCAGAGCGATAGCACAGCGGGTAGGGCGTCTGCCTTGCACGCAGCCAACATGGCCAACCCGAGTTCGATTCCTCCGCCCCTCTCGGAGAGCCCGGCAAGCTACCAAGAGTATTTGATATGCCAGACACAGTAACAACAAAGTCTCCAATGGAGACGTTACTGGGCCCGCTCGAGCAAATCGATGATCAACGGGAGGGCCTTTACTTACTTTACTCCCCAGAAAATATTTTTTTGTGATTTCTTTTTCCTTTGAAGTCTAACATGATAATGACTCATTGTTACCTGACCATTCTAAAATGGTCTTACTGAAAGCTCACGACAAATGAGGGGCAAAGATTATCTCGGAAGGATGGCAGGGGGCAGCTGCTTTTCCAAAATCACCAAGGCAGAAAGTTGGAAGAGAGGAATGAAATTCAAGAGTTGTTGGCACCAAAGTCTGAGTCTTCTGAAGCTTTCTTCTGCTCTTATTAACTATAAATTACAGGCTATTAAAAAGAGCCAGCGTTTAGACCGTAAGGCCACTCAGGAAAGAGTTGTGTAGGTATATGCATTCGCTGAGTTTTTTTTTTTTTGTTTGTTTGTTTTTAAATTTGGGCAACACTCAGCTCAGCTCAGTTCTTACTCTTGGCTCTGTGCGCAGGGCTGACTCCTGGTAGGGATTGGAGGACCCTCTGGAGTGCGGGGGGATCAAACCTGGGTTGGCCACATACAAGGCAAATGCGCTCCCCGCTGTGCTATTGCTTGGGCTCTGTGACAGGCCTTTTACCAAAGATCACCTTATTCACTCTTCATCACGCGAGCCCACAAGAGCATGGATTCCATTTTACACAGGCAGAAAGTGACTCGCAGGGATGAAATGGCTCCAGGTCCCTCAGAAAGTGGTGTGACAAAGGTTTCTGCCTCCAGCCGCCCAGGTCTCTCCATCTCACACACTCACCACACGCCTCACTTGTGACGAGTGCTTCATAAATGTCTGCTGATGACAAGCACGATTACGACGACTCAGACCTACTGTAGATCAAACTACTGTGGCTGTCGAATACTGGCTTAATTTTTAGGCAGCTGACATGGGAGGAAAGGGAAAAAAAATATTATAGCTAAAAGCCATTTTCAAAAGACAAGCTATG